CTCTAGAGCAGTGTTTCTCAACCTTGACAATTTTAAGGCATGTGGACTTCAACTCCCAGAATTCCACAGCAATGCTGGCTGTGGAATTCTGGGACTTGAAGTCCACATGCCTTAAAATTGTCAAGGTTGAGAAACACTGCTCTAGAAAGACTGCAGAGAACAGCAACAAAGATGAGTAGAGGGCTAGAGGCTAAAACGTATGAAGAACGGTTGCAGGAATTGGGTACGTCTAGTTTAATGAAGAGAAGGATGAGGGAGTGACATGATAGCAGTGTTCCAATATCTCAGGGGCTGCCCCAAAGAAGAGGCAGTCAAGCTCTTCTCCAAAGCACCTGAAGGCAGGACAAGAAGCAACGGATGGAAACTAACCAAAGAGAGAAGCAACCTAGAACTAAGGAGAAACTTCCTGACAGTGAGAACAATTAATCACTTGCCTTCAAAACTTGTGGATGCTCCATCACTGGAGGTTTTTAAGAAGAGACTGGACAGTCATTTGTCTGCAATGGTACAGGCTCTTCTGCTTGAGAAAGGGGTTGGTCTAGAAGACCTCCAAGGTCTCTTCCAACTCTGTTATGCTGTTACTCTGTTAGAAGCAGCTGGCCCATCACATATGGAGGGCAACTATACTAAATGATGCAGGAACAGATCACATAGATAGAACAATAATCCTTAAGTTGTATTCCACAGACCAATAGTGCTCCTCCTCAACCTGAGCAGGTCTTGCCAAACCACCATGAATGAAGACAGTTCTTCTCAGACATCACATTGAGACAACTAGGAAAAACTGAACGCCACTGAAGGAAAGCAAACAAGAGCTAGTAAGTGAAAAGGCACTGAAACTCCGATATGTATGTGTAAGCGGATTTTAACTATTCTGTATACAGGTCCTCCTTGACTTATGACCATGATGGAGCCTGAGGTTGTAAAATGAGTCATCATGTGACCAATTGGATTTTATGATTTTTTTTGTAGCATTCATTAAGTGAACTCATGGCTTACTAGAAGGTGGTTTTTCAGAAAAATGTAAGTTAAACATCTGAAAGGCAATCAGATGACTGCAAGGTCAAAACATTGGAACTGGGTCTTAAGTATTTTAGGGGGGCCCATCATAACTTCAAATGGTTTCTAAGCAACCAGCCGTAACTTGAGGACGACCTGTGATCAGTGCCAACAATCAGAATAAATTTTGTCTCGTCTTTCATTAAACAAGACGTGGACCCAAATAGGCCATCTACACAAGTCTGCTCATCCAGTTAAGATGTATAATTGATGTATTAAACACAAGGGGAAATGACGGCGATTATTGTTTTATTTCTATGTCCTTATTTTTTTCTTCCCTCCCCCCCAAAAATGTTCAACTTTATACGACGCTACGAACTTTAGGAAAAATCAATTCAAAAGCAAATCTGACACCGCGATTTCAAAAAAGTATTGTGAACGGCTCTAATCGCATTTAAAAACTGTGGCCTATTCCGTCTGTAAACCGCAGTTGTACTTAATCAATATCTCAGGTGAAATATTATACGCAATCTAGATGATTTATTTCCAAAACACGCTAAAGCAGGCTAATTTTGGGGTGCCTGACATTCAATGTTTCCGAAGAAATGATTGTTCTACATCTGGTTCTTCGTTTATGTACTTGTGTACGTTCTGTTGCATGAGAACCGTTAAATATTTTATATTTAATCATGGCATATGAAATGTTTGCACATTAGATTGGGCATGAATAAAACATCAGCCCAATAATCATCGCTCATAGTTTTCAGAAACTATGTTCCGTGTCACCTGGGGTAAAAAAAAAAAAAAATGAAAGCTAGGTTTAATTTTTCTTCACTTTGATTGTAAGAAATGTGTTTTCACTCCTGAAACGGTCACTGTGTTTTTTATTATAAGATGATAAAGGAAATTCCGGGGGTGGTGGTGGTGCCTTATTCTGATTATTGTTTTATAAGGAAGGGCAATTAAGGCAAGGGAGCTGGTTACAATTTCTCCAAAAGAAAAGAGGCCAGCACTTAAATACTGGAAGGAACTCGTCTGCTAAGTATGTGCATTTGCAGAAAATCAATGAGATGCAGTGGCTGACAAAACTTTGCACCCGATTCCTCTTTCTGGATTGAAATCCACTTTGGAGAATGAATAGGTTTGGGTAATAAAGAACCCTACAATTTGCATGTCACCCTTGATGTTTGCCTCTGTATTTATCTCCATGCCCTCCCCTTCAAACACACGCAGCATCCCCAAGGCAGCTGGCACAAAATAATCTACAATTAGTCCTCCACTTCCAGCAGTTCCTTTAGTGCAGTGGTTTTCAACTTGTGGGTCGGGACCCCATTTGGGGTCGAACGACCATTTCACGGGGGTTGCCAAACAACGCAGTCCGCCATTTCCTCCCCCCCCCCCTTTTCCTTAGCTGTGCTACTCCCTTTTATTCTATTGGCTTTTGAAAGCCAATAGAATAGACTCTCTTGATAGAGTCTAATTCTATTGGCTTTCCAAAGCCAATAGGAATTGTCCAGGCTGTCTCTGCCCTGCTGAGCCCGCCAAAAGTCCCAGTCTGCAAACGGGGCTGCACCGGTTGAGTAGTCCTCGACTTACGACCGGTTGAGTAGTCCTCAACTTACGACCGGTTGGGGGTCGCGGCATTAAACATTAAATTTAGTGGCTGTTCGCAGTTATTGAAAAAAGGGACTTTATGACTGTCATCCAGGTCCTGGTTGTCCCAAAAGTGCTTTTTTTTTTTTTTCAGGAGGCAACTGGACTTCCTTTGTTTTTCTTTGAAGACATTTCGTTTCTCATCCAAGAAGCTTCTTCAATTCTGACTGGATGGTGGGGAAGGGAAGGATCTGGTCAAAGCTGAGGAAGCTTCTGGGATGAGAAGCGAAACGTCTTCAAAGAAAAACAAGAAAGTCCAGGGGGCTCCTGAAAAAAACACCTTTGGGACAACCATGGCTTGGATGACTGAGAATCTCCACAGACATTTAGCCACGCACTTTGGGATGAACACGCTTCGAAGGGTGCAGGAGCATGAGGAAACTAATGGATGGAAACTAATCAAGGAGAGAAGCAACTTAAAACTAAGGAGAAATTTCCAGACAATGAGGACAATTGATCAGTGGAACAATCTGCCTCCAGAAGTTGTGGGTGCTCCAACACCAAAGGCTTTTAAGAAGAGACTGGACAACCATTTGTCTGAAATGGTATAGGGCAGGGATAAGCAACCTTGGCTCTTTTATGACTCGTGGACTTCAACTCCCAGAATTCCTGAGCCAGCATGGAGGAACTATGGCCCCCTCATGACCCGTGGACTTCAACTCCCAGAATTCCTCAGCCAGCATGGGGGAACTATGGCCCCTTCATGACTCGTGGACTTCAACTCCCAGAATTCCTGAGCCACCATGGCTCAGCTTGGAAGCCTCTCTCTTTCCCCTTAGCATGGCTGGCTCAGGAATTCTGGGAGTTGAAGTCCACAAGTCATAAAAGAGACAAGGTTGTCTACCCCTGGCCTAAGTTCTGTTCTAAGCGGTGAGCCTCCTAGACCAGGGGTAGGCCACCTTGGCTCTTTTATGACTCGTGGACTTCAACTCCCAGAATTCCTGAGCCAGCCATGCTGAGGGAAAAGGGAGAGGTTTCCAAGCTGAGCCAGGCTGGCTCAGGAATTCTGGGAGTTGAAGTCCACAAGTCATGAGGGGGGCCACAGTTCCCCCATGCTGGCTCAGGAATTCTGGGAGTTGAAGTCCACGAGTCATAAAAGAGCCAAGGTGGCCTACCCCTGGTCTAGGTTCTCCTGCTTGAGCAGGGGGCTGGACTAGAAGACCTCCAAGGTCCCTCCCAACTCCGTCATTCTGTTTATAAATTTCATAGATGATGTATGCAGTATGTAAAAACCTGTAGTAGTTCCTCTGCCCTGAATCTTCCACCCTTTAGATTCAAGAGAGGTCTCAATTTTTATTTTTTAAAAAAAATGCCCAAGTGCCTGTCATATCATTCCCTTTTTTTTGCCTCAAATATAGTCAAATATACCCTCTGGAGACATTTGTAATCCTGTCAGCATTTTTCTGCCCTTTTTCTAACTGTACAAGATGGGTGTTTTTAAAGGCGCCTTCAAAATATTTTGTCCAAACCATAAATTTGCGTAACTCGTTTACCACTCTGACAGTTTGATTTGATTTTATTTTTTATTCTCATCTTCGTGACACTCAATACATAATTTCTCCTTTGGAGACAGATTTAAGGGGTCATCAAGTTACCTGCAACATCTGACGTTCTTGTTCCTTGTCACTCACCAGTATCTGAGGAACTATCAGTGCTTCTAGGACGGCAGAAATGTCTGCCTCAGTTTTGTCTCCTGGCCTCTGCTTAAATACAAACGCTGTTGTTTGTACCAGCGGACAGAGGTAATGCAGGAAGTCCCAGATTTATAACCGTTCATTTAGTGACCATTTGAAGTGGCAACAGCACTGGAAAAGGGACTTACGACCATTCTGCAAACTTAAGATCGTTGCAGCAGCCCTGTGATCACATAAATCAAAATTTAGGCGCTTAACAACTGACTCGTATTTATGACAGTCGCCCAAGGTCACGTGATCCCCTTTTGCGACCTTCCCACAATCAAAGTCCATGGGGACGCCAGATTCACTTAACAACTGTGTTACTAACAATTGTAGTGATTCCCTTAATAGCTCTGGCAAGAAAGGTCGTAAAATGGGGGCAAAGCTCACATTAACCAACGTCTCGCTTAGCAACACAAACGTTGGGCTCCGTTGTCGTCATAAGTCAAGGACTACCTCTATCCCCCAACTACTTTTCTCCCTTCCTCTAACAAACACAGTAACGTGGCTCACCTTGAGATTGAAAAGGCCTGTTCCTGGTTCTTTCCAATATATGAAACAATCGAAAAAGACTAGACGGCAACTACTTACCCACGTGATCACAAGCCTATCACCATGAAAACCACTCACACAACAATAACACACTTTACAGAGCTAACTGGGCTTACTTACATTGAGTGAGGATGCCCGTCAGGGCGTTCGTGAAGTTCTCCTTGGCCTGGTCCATCTCCTGTTCGTGATTGGCTTTTTCGTTCATGAGCCGGCGGATGTGGCTGTTGGCCGATTGCACCATGGAGTAGAACTGGTTAGACGTGCGGCGGTTCACCTCCCCTCGTTCGATCCAGGTTAGTAGCACTACTATGGCCTCTGAGAATTTGCTGTCATCTGGAACAAAACCCATTCGAGAGAAGCTAAAATTATGGTCACGTTCTTTGTCTGCGAATGGATTTCAGCCCTTACGAATTCTCCCGTTAACAATATTTATGACGTATCTTCGATTCGGTTTGGCTTCGCACTCCTAATATAAACCTTTATAAATTGCTCTCTGAAGCACTGATTATCACGAGTGCCGGCAATGTTGTGGCTTGAATTTTCATTCACTCCTTATGCTGTCATTGCCGTGTGAAGTAGGTTCACTCTGGGAATAATTAAACGCGAAGTATTTTTTAAGATTCCACCCAACTGGAGTCAAAAGAAGACAAAGCTTTTTTTCAGCTCCACAGTTCATCTTTCCAATAGGGTCCTTGAGTGTGCAACTGTTTTACAAGCTCCCCTGCAAACAGGAGTGATTCCAGATGAGAGCTTTCTATCAATATCACGCTGCGGTGAGATCTGTGTGAAGTAGAAAATACGTTGTGTTTTGTGTATAAAACTCCCCGATTTCCATGGAAAAGAAAGATGAGATATAAAAATATTACTTTTCTCTCTCCTTAATGGTGGATCCTCAAACATAAGCCAGAGTTATGTCTATGAATCAATCATTAGGGATGATTCTGAGATGTAACTCTGTGTCAACATCCAGCTTGAGAATCTAAATGAAACTCCAGATTAATTCCGTTTCTGAAAATCTTACTGTTTATTGAATACACTGCTTGGTTATGTTGAAGCAAAACTAATTCTGAGGTTCCCACACCAATTCACAGACCAGTGGTGGCGAACCTATGGCACGCGTACCAGAGGCGGCACTCAGAGCCCTCTCTGTGGGCACACGCACCATTGCCCCAGCCCCACCTCCCCCCGTGGCCCCCTCCTCATCAGCAGCCCCCCTGGAGGAGAGTCACCCCCAGATGCAGCCCATGCGGAGCAGCGCAGCCGACATGGCAGCCGGGCAGCAAGGTCAAGACTCCACCCTTGCACCCCGTCACGTGCAAATGATGCTGCGGGACGCAGGCAGAGGGCGTGGCTGTATGGCATTGCAGGGCCGCTTAGGCGATCAGTGGCGGGCCATAGAGGTGGTGAGTGGCCCTGTGGGTGGGGAGCAGGGCGGTTTTTTGACACTCTGTCTCTAAAAGGTTCGCCATCACTGTCATAGACTTAAACAATAGTTTTCCCAGCCAGCCCCCAATGTTTTATGTAATCTATATCAGTGACTCCACTTTGTTACGGGAACCGTCTGCTTCAAATCCACACCTGCTCTGGTGTCCTTGACAAGGCTTCAGGCTCCCACTGTCTGCAGCTGAATCAAAGAAGTTTTGTTCTTCCATCTACCCACTTGACAGTAACACCTCCCCCTCCCCTTAATCTAAAGGCAAGTTGAAATTCAGAAATGCCGAAGTTTCACCCTTGACACTCTGGCTTATGTTTCAGGATAGACCATTAAAGTGAGGTTGACTTCCTTAAAGAACTAAAGAAGCCTCTTAGATGAGAAGCAAAACATCTTCAAGGGAAAAAAAACAAGAAAGTCCAGTTGCCTTTTGTAAAGCACCTTTGGGACAACCATGACTTGGATGATTGAGAATCACCATAAACACTCTGGATCAATCTCATATGTCTAAGAAAGACTGAAAAAACTCACAAAGTCATCAACTGTCTGGGGAAGGGATCCGTGTGGACCAGCAGCATAATCTCCAGGATCTTTGAGGAGATCAAGGGCTCCATCCCAACATCAACTCTTCCATTCCATCTGGGTCTTCTCCTCACCTTACACCCCATTGACCTCCATGCCAGAAATTTCCTTAAACTTTGGATTTAGCATTTACTATTGTAACGGATACTATTTACTATTCATTACTGGTGGAGAGACAAATGAGATTGCAAGCAAGTAGACCCAATGAAGTTTTCATATTCCAAAAAGACAACAACATGTGACCTGAGCACAAATAAGAGTCTGCCTCTGTAAACTCGCTGAGTTTATGGAGTTCCTCAGTCAAAGCTGCTCCATCCTGCCAGGGGGTGACTCAGCAGTCTGCATATTAACAACTGACTCATCCATCTAAGGTTCTTATTCCCCTTTGACTCCTGTTCTTTACATATCCCACTCCAGTAAAAGGCTGAGCCCAGTCCCAGATGAAGCAACACAGGAGGATATTTGTAGCTCAGGATTGACATGAGGGATCCTTGGGGCTCTCTGAGCTTGGTCAGTTTCTTGAAAATGTTTCATTACCCAACTAGGTAACATCATCAGCACTACAAGGGGGCAGCGATAGCAAAGTGGTGGCAGTGGTAGTGGAGGAGGAGGAAGAAGAAGAGGAGGAGGAGGAGAACTGTGGGATCCTTGGTACTCCCTGAGCTTCATTGCTTTCTTGCAGACATTTCATTACCCAACCAGGGAACATCATCAGCACTACAAGGGGGCAGTGATAGCAGAGCAGTGGAGGTGGTAGTGGAGGAGGTGGAGGAGGAGGAGGAGGAGGAGAACTGTGGGATCCTTGGTGCTCTCTGAGCTTCGTTGCTTTCTTGCAGACGTTTCATTACCCAACTAGGGAACATCATCAGCACTACAAGGGGGCAGTGCTTGCAGAGTAGTGGTGGTGGTAATGGAGGAGGAGGAGGAGGAGGAGGAGGAGGAGGAGGAGAACTGTGGCATCCTTGTGCTCTCTGTGTCAACAGTCCAACAATTAAGTCCCAGCAGGCATTACTTTATTGAGTACAGCATCTGAGAACTGAAGAAGTGAAACCAACTCTGAGGTTTCCCACGTGAAAGCTTGCTTAGTTAAACACTGGATTCCCACTTCCCCACCCACCGGGCATTCACATTGTCCGATAGTAATATTTCTTTTTGTGATGGGAACAGCTCATTTCTTCATTGAGCACCTGCGGCAGTGACCTTGGGTTGTTGCAGGCTCTCATGGTCCATGAACGGCTCCTTGGCATTTCATTCCATTCCATTCCCACTCCTTTTTTCTTAAGGCAAGATAATGAAGCTAATAACCATTGTTTCCTTGCAGACCTTTCCTTGCAGACCTTTCATCAAACTAGGTAACATCATCTAATACTGATAGTGTTACCTAGTTTGGTAATGAAACATTTGCAAGAAAACCACCAAGCTCAGAGAGCACCAAAGACCACACAGATCAAGCATTCATTCATGTTGAGAAGCTTCTTAGAATATGAACCCTTCAATATATTTTTTTCTGAGAAATTTGCACACTTAATCAATATGCTGCATCTGTCCTACGGAAAGGTTAAATGGTTGCAAAATGTATGAAAGAATAAGGAGATCAACCTCTGGATGCCGGAATCCATTTTTGTGGATGAGTCCCTACAAGGGCTGGTCTTACGGCAAGGAGAAAGTAAATGGTGCTATTTGTGAAGGTTTGTCCACAAGGTTCTGGGTGGAGAAAGCTGTGCTTCTTCAATCAACGTGTTTTATGAACATCCAGAAGGATGCAATTCAAAAGAGGCTGTTTTTGATTTCCATCATTGCTGAAGCAAATTAAATAAATCAAAGCCACCATTGGCAAAAATAAAATTATTAGAAAGCACTTTTAATCTTGATTACGCCACTGAAGATGTAAACATCTGCAACTCTCTGAGCACCTCTAATGGAACTTTCATTTACAACATGAGTTTGTTGCATCGGGAAATCTCAAATCATTTTGCAGATAAGAACAGAACTGGCCGTTATAAAATTGCAACTCTCTTAGCTTTCCATCCAGGCACAATGTTTATTACAGAATGTCAGAATCCAATTATATTAATTATATTTCATCTCTAGTTATCAATTATAAAAAAAAAACCATTTCTGCCTTCTCTGGATTCTGCCATACGATGAAGGGAAGGGGGTGAACAAAGGGGCTTTATGGTCCTCACTTCCTTCGGTATACTTCAAAGGAACTGGTTGTGTGTATTGCCAAAAGAGCTAACCATAAGAATGGAGCTGTTACCTTTCATGTAGTTTTCTTTGAAGTCTCCATCCAGCCAGCAGAAAGGAAAAGGGGGTGGGATTGTAATGCCTGAAACTGTTCACTGGAAGAGGGGGGTGACTACTGGGGAACCCCTTAAAACCTTGAATGGGAGAGCTTGGACCCCCAAGTCCTGTCTAGAACGCCTGCAACCATTTTCTCTTAATAAAGGATGCCTGTTGGAAGAATTATTCCAAGAGTTCTGTCTTCTTAAGATGCAACGTGGGGTGGGTCCTTACACAGAAAGAGTACAGAGAAGAGCAACAAAGATGATCAGGGGACTGGAGGCTAAAACATAATAAGGAACGGTTGCTGGAATTGGGGATGTCTAGTTTAATGAAGAGAAGGACGAGGGGGGACAGGATAGCAGCCTTCCAGTATCTCAGGGGCTGCCCCAAAGAAGAGGGAGTCAAGCTATTCTCCAAAGCGCCTGAAGGCAGGACAAGAAGCAATGGATGGAAACTGATCAAGGAGAGAAGCAACCTGGAACTAAGGAGGAATTTCCTGACAGTTAGAACAATTAACCAGTGGAACAACCTGCCTCCAGAAGCTGTAAATGCTCCAGTACTGGAGGTTTTTAAGAAGAGACTGGACAGCCTCCTGCAAAAAGCACCTTTGGTGCAACCAGGACTTGGATGACTTGAGAATCTCCATAGATACAAGAAGGAAGCTTGAAAGCCCCCCCCCCCCCAAAATTAAATGAAGACTTTGAACCTCCTTCGGTCAGTCAACAGGAAGCGCAAACCAATTGCTTTGGAAGACGAGCAGGCGGGGGATATGAAATGCAATCAGCAGGAAAAGGCATGGCTAAGAATCTAAAATGTATAATTTCAAGCAGGCACTGGATTTAAGTTCTGAGACATCCCCTTGATCGTGAGAGGCCTTGATGTATTTTTAAAACAAGTTGCCACGGATGTAAATGAAACAAGCAGAGTTGCCTTGGCACAGCGCCTCTCTGAAATCTTTAGAAAAAAAGCATCATATCCCCTTAATTAAACAAAAGTTTTTAAAACTTTGTTAAAGGCATGCTGGGAAACGAGCCCACTGCATTTCTGTAAAATACTATATTTAATTCTGGATGGAGATGAAAATGATTTAAAAAGGAAAAAGCACGAAGATTCTTGAAGGAGGGAGATGCAAGCCCTGACAGGGAGAACAATTAACCCGTGGAACTGCTTGCCTCCAGAAATTGTGGGCGTTCCATCACTCCGGGTTTTTAAGAAGAGACTGGAGAGTCACTTGTCTGGGATGGTAGAATTAGTCCTCGATTTACAACTTAGTCATTTAGTAACCTTTCAAAGTTACGACAGCACTGAAAAAAATGACGTATGTCTGTTTTCCACACTTACGACCGTTGCAGCCATGTGATCAACATTCAGACTCTTGGCAACTGGCATGTACTTATGACAGTTTCAGTGTCCCGGGGGTCATGTCATCCCCTTTTGCGACCGTCTTACAAGCAAAGACAATGAGGAAACCAGATTCACTTAACAACTGGGTTACTAATTTAACAATCGCCGTGATTCGTTTAACCACTGTGGCAAGAAAAGTCATAAGACAGGGTCAAACTCATTCGTCTTGCTTAACAACAGAAAGTTTGGGTTCAATTGTGCTCAAAAGTCGAGGGCTACGTGTTTATAAGGTCTCCTGCCTCAGGCAAGGGGTTGGACTAGAAGACCTCCAAGATCCCTTCTGTCATGGTTCTGACAGATGAAACTCTTCAGAAGAACTTCGAGGCATTGTTTACCTTAAAGACTCTTCATTTTGAGTAGCACAACTTCGGCACTGCATAATCGAAGCCAAAAACTGAATTCCCCTCCCCTGAGCACGTAGTATCACAGCACAATTCCGTCCTCTAATTAACAGTCATAAATCACATTCCCCAATTAGCTTGAAGCACGGGCTTCCTCTCTAGTTCTCCAGCCCGCCAATTCCTTATCGGCTCTGATTTCAATAACCTTGATTCTCACGCCAAGTTTAGTGTTGTTATGTCTAGCTGGACTCTCATTCACATCCCCCCTCCCAGCATCATCTAAATGTAAAAGCAAAAGGTAAAAGATGGCTACACTTTCATCTGTTGTCAATGCAAAAAACATCCGACGTTAGCAGAGTTGACACCTTCCATTTCTACGATTCTATTTCTATTTAACCGGTGATATAAAACCAGCTAAACGCAGCATGAATTGAAGCCCAGCATCCGAGGCTGCCGACAGAATCCCAGTGTCACCGCAGATCAAAATAGTAAGGTGCAGAATTGAAATCCCACAAGAATTCTCAGTTGACTGAAAACACAAACGCCCCTTCCTCGCTGGGCTAGCGCACAATATTTGCGGTCTGCGGTGACACTTCCGTCGCAGGCTTCAACCGTTTACAAAATCTGCGAAGGACGCATAAGGGTGAGATTGCGGAAAGCAATGACGGATCGCTTTCTCTCCGCCGAGTCCTGTACATGGAGTGGCAAATTGGATTTCACACCTCCTTAATGTGTAAAAAAAACCCTCCAATAACATTTAAGGAGAAGGATATAACTGGGATATTTCGAAACGTATCGTCAGAGTGAAGAAAGAGGCAAGACGCCTTTTTGGATCACTCATAGACAAATAGCAGCTATCGCCATACAAGGAAAGAGACACATTTCATTAAATATTACTAAAAAAAAGTTTTTTTAAAAAAAAATAATTGCCCTGTAACAAGCTTGCAGTGTTAGTGATGTTTTGACATCAAACGGAATCGGAAAGTGTTGTGTTACCTTTCAACTTGAGGGCTCCTTGGAGCTCTCTGAGCTTGTTCGTTTTTTTGCAGACGTTTCATTACCCAACTAGGTAACATCATCAGATTCTTGGGTTGGGCTGTTTACTAATGGCTCTATGGCAGTTTCTTGATTGGGGTATTGCTTACTTACCGGACAGGCAAGACACCAGGATATAAACTGATAGCAAACCGCACTCCCTACTAGAACTGCTGATGTTATCTAGTTGGGTAATGCAACGTCTGCAAGAAAAACCACCAAGCTCAGAAAGTACCAAGGAGCCCACAGTTGTTGTCTCCTCCTCCTCCTCCTCCTCCTCCTCCTCCTCCTCCTCCTCCTCCTCCTCCCCCCTCCTCCTCCTCCTCCTCCTCCTCCTCTCCACAAGCCCTACTCTCTTCTAGCACTGATGATGTTACCTAGTTTGGGTAATGAAATATCTGCAAGAAAATCACCAAGCTCAGACAGCACCAAGGACCATGCAACATTCTCCCTCTTCCTCCTCCTCCTCCTCTCCTCCTCCTCTTCCTTCTCCTCCTCTTCTCCACAAATCCCACTCCCTTCTAGCACTGATGATGTTACTTAGTTGGGTCATGAAATGTCTGCAAGAAAACCACATAGCTCGGAGAGCATCAAGGACCCCAGTCTTCCTCCTCCTCCTCCTCCTCCTCCTCCTCCTCCTCCTCCTCCTCCTCCTCCTCCTCCTCCTCCTCCTCCTTCTCCCTGCAAACCCTATTCCATTCCACCACTAATGTTGTTACTTAGTTGAGTCATGAAATGTCTGCAAGAAAACCATGTAGCTCAGAGAGCACTAAGGACCCCATCGTCATCCACCTCCACTACCTCCTCCTCCTCCTCCTCCTCCTCCTCCTCCTCCTCCTCCCCTTCTTCTTCTCTTCAAACCCTACTGCCTTCTAGCACCGATGATATTCCCTAGTCATGAAGCCTCTGCAAGAAAAAACACCCAGCTCAGAGAGCACCAAGGACGCCACAATTCTCACACACCCCTCCTCCTTCTCCTTCTCTTCCTCTTCCTCCTCCTCCTCCTCCTCCTCCTCCTCCTCCTCCTCCTCCTCCTCCTCCTCCTCCTCCTCCTCCTCCAAACCCATTCCCTTTTAGGACTGATGATGTTCCCTAGTTGGGTCATGAAACGCCTGCAAGAAAACATCCAAGCTCAGACAGCCCCAAAGGCCCCCCTCATTTCAACCCTGAGCTGCAAATATTCTCCTTCGTTGGTACCTTTCAATTTTTCAGCCAGCAGGGAGGCCTCGTGTTCCGAGTAATGCATTATGACGGGAGGCGAAGGCGGACGTATCCGGTCTTCCTCCATCTTGCGACGGTGGCGTTCTTCCCGCGCCAGCATCCTCTGCTTGCACTCCCACTCATAGAAGTCATCCCTGGCCTGAGCAAAATCGACATGGAGGCGCCCGGAGTCTTTCTTATCCGTGCTCGATCCTAATCGCATGCGGTAGCCTGAGAACAAGAAACCCCAAAAATAATTTTTTTAAAAAATAGAGCGGTTCTTTCTACTTCTGTGAAGGTGGTTATTTTAATCAGGTTTTTTTTCTTATTATTATTCCATACGTTATCAAGTGGATGAACAGATGATTACGCCTGCTGTTCCCGTGAAGCGTAACCGGACACGTGTGCATAGACTTGTCTTCTAAAAAATATTACAGTAGTCCTTGACTTACAACTGTTCAGTTAGTGGCTGTTTGAAAGTAAACCAGCTTTGGGGAAAAAGTGGTTGATGGCCGGTTTGCACATTTAAGACCACCACAGCCTCCCCAGGGCCATGTGATTTAAATTCAGGGGCTTAGAAACTGGCATGTACTTATGACGGTTGCAGCATCTCCGGGTCATGTGATCACCATGATTATGATCATGATTGATCCCTTGTGGCTTGTATGCACACTGAGAGCGTATGCGCTGGAGACAGATTCCTTGTGTGTCCTATCACACTTGGCCAATCAAGAATATTCTGTTCTGTTCTGTCCTATTCTATATTCTATTCTATTCTATTCTATTCTATTCTATTCTATTCTATTCTATTCTATTCTATATTCTATTCTTATTTTAATTCTACTCTACTCTACTCTATTCAATTCTACTCTATATTCTATTCTATTCTATTCTATTCTTATTTTAATTCTACTCTATACTCTATTTCTATTCTATTCTATTCTGTTTCTTTTCTTTTCTTTTCTATTCTATTCTATTCTTATTTTAATTCTACTCTATACGCTATATTCTATTCTATTCTATTCTATTCTATTCTATTCTTATTTTAATTCTACTCTATATTCTATTCTATTCTATTCTATTCTATTCTATTCTATTCTATTCTATTCTATTCTATATTCTATTCTTATTTTAATTCTACTCTACTCCACTCCACACTGCTCTACTCTACTCTATTCCATTCCATTCTATTCCATATTTTCTATTCTGTTCCGCTCCATCCCATCCCATTCCATTCCATCCCATCCCATCTCATCCCATTCCATTCTGTTCCATTCCATTCCATTCTCTATCCATTCCATTCTCTATTTTTTCTATTCTATTCTATTCTATTCTATTCTATTCTATTCTATTCTATTCTATTCTATTCTATTCTATTCTATTCTATTCTCCTACTCTACTCTCTTATTCTATTCTGTCCTATTCTATATTCTATTCTATTCTATTCTATTCTATTCTATTCTATTCTATTCTATTCTATTCTATTCTATTCTATTCTATTCTATTCCATTCCATATTTTCTATTCTATTCTATTCTATTCTATTCTATTCTATTCTATTCTATTCTATTCTATTCTATTCTATTCTACTCTACTCTACTCTACTCTACTCTACTCTATTCTATTCTGATCTTCTGACAAGCTAAGTCAATGGGGAAGCCAAAGTCACTTAACAACCGTGTTACTAACTCCACAACTGTAGTGATTCACTTAACAATTGTGGCAAGAAAGGTTGTAAAGTGGGGCAAAACTCACTTAACAAAGGTCTCACTTAGCAATGGAAATTTTGGGCTCAATTGTAGTCGTTAAGTTGAGGACTACCTGTATGCCTTTTCAGTTGGCCTGTAAGAAAAACCAACTTCAGTGTCTTAGACCAAACTGCACAAAATTTGCATGTCGTGCTAAGAAAACACTACGGTAGTTCAATTCTTAAGTAAGGAAATATGCAATCTGGGCATTTGGGAAAGTGTAAATATGATATCTCTCAGCTTTCACCTTATGATGAAAACACAACAGGACCAGATTTTGCATCTTGGCGCGTGCAGAAAATAGATTTCCATAGTCAGCTCTGCCCTATATATAGTTCATCCAGATTTATTTATTCTTTATTCATTCATTTCCTTTAACAGACTAATTTTGAATGGAGAGAGAGAAAGAGAGAGAGAAGAGAGAAAGAGAGAGATAGAAAAGAGAGAGAGAAGATAGAGAAGAGAGAGAGAGACAGAAAAGAGAAAGAGAGAGAAGAGAGAGACAGAAAAGAGAAAAAGAGGGAAGATAGAAGAGAGAGAGAGACAGAAGAGAAATAGAGAGACAGACAGAAGAGAAAGAGAAGAGAGAGAGAAGAGAGAGAGAGAAAAGAGAAAGAGAAGAGAGAGAGAAGAGAAAGACAGAAGAGAAAGAGAGACAGAAGAGAAAGAGAGAGAAAAAGAGAGATAGAGAAAGAATTGAAAGCTAATAAGATCAAATCAAAGAAAGAGAACTTATTTTCTAGCAAAACCATTGGTTGATATATCTTTAATCTTCCTATGTCAGCACAAACTGGTGGATCTTAAAGCACTTGCAAAGACAGTTTTGCATACTTTCAGAAAAGCTAAACTGGATTCAGATCTGAGCTAATAAAAATAATGTGTAAGCAACACCTTCGTTTCTAACTGTCATCAACAGGACTATCCACAACTTCGCCTGTTTTGTTTTTGTCAAATTAACAAAAGCAGCTTCACAACCTCGTGATGCATCGCTCCACACCTTTGGGGCATGTGTGCCATGTCACAAACCCTGGCTTACATCCCAAAGGGGCATTCCCCAAAAGATAGCTGGACTTTCTTGGTGTTTTATTTATTTTTTCCTCCCTTGAAAACATTTCACTTCTCATTCCAAGAAGCTTCTTCAGCTTCTTCAGAACTGGTGCTTCAGAACTGAAGAAGCTTCTTGGAAGAGAGGAGAAGTGTCTTCGAGGTGAAACCAAGAAAATCCAGCTGGTCTTTTGGAAAACGCACTTTGGGGCCAAACCATGACCTGGATGATGGAGTATCTCCACAGACAGTGGGCTGACCTCACAACAGCACAATGTCAGACTGACTTCTTTAAGGTGACGTGACATCCCATCCCACCCCACCGCTGCTACAAGCAAGCAAAACCTCTGCAGAATGTTTCCATCGCCACGCGAGATGGATTTATCCATCAAATGCCCGCATTTATGAAGAGCGACACCTTCAGTGTAGCCACAATGGCTAGTTATGACAAATCAGAAAAAGTTTATAGAAGTCTTGGATAGAATAGAACGGAGTAGAGTAGAGTAGAACAGAACAGAGTAGAATAGAATAGGACAGATTGTAGACTAGTCTAGACTAGACTAGAATAGAATAAAATAGAACAGTTTAGAATGGAATGGGATGGAGAATAGAATAGAATAGAATAGAATAGAATAGAATAGAATAGAATAGAATAGTCTCTTTGATCACTCAAAAGGGATTTAGGAATGCATAGTTGGGACTTGACAAGAATTAAAGGGAGACTAGTATAGCTATTTCGAGCTATTTAGCTCTCATCAGCTAGCCCAGTGGTGGCGAACCTGTGGCACGGGTGCCAGAGGCGGCACACAGAGCCCTCTCTGTGGGCACGGGCACCGTTGCCCCAGTCCTAGGCCTTCAGATGGGTTTTATAAAACCTTTTCGCTTTAGGCCATGTGCAAAAAAAAAAAAAAGGTTCAATTAGTCAATTTCAACTTCGCGCGGGGAAAAAAAAATCTTGCAAAGTTGGAATTGACTGATTGAACTTTTTAGTCCCACCCAGTCTGCTGTTACCACCATAGCCACGCCCACCCAATTGACCACACCCAGCCAATGGGCTACACCCACCCGGCACTTGACGATACATAAGTGGGTTTTGGGTTGCAGTTTGGGCACTCAGTTTCTAAAAGGTTCGCCATCACTGAGCTAGCCATACCCTTCTGAGATTCGAACCTGGGCCGCTTGCACATTAGGCAGCTGTATCATGGTTCTAGGCCATGGTTCTCCTCGCTTTTGTCTGCTGTACCAGTGAGGAGAGATTAAGTGTTTTCAGGTGAAACCAGTCTAACAGAGCACCTGGTCTACCCAAATATGGGACGGAGCAATCTGCTATTGCTTTCACCTTTCAGCCCCAATCTAGGAGCTTTTACAGGCAGATGCTACTGCAACAAACTATTTCTGTGTTAAATTTAGATTTTGCCAAGAAAGAATTAAAGGGAGACTAGTATAGCTATTTCGAGCTATTTAGCTCTCATCAGCTAGCCATACCCTTCTGAGACACTGCAAAGGTCGTAAGTGTGAAAAACGGTCATGTTACTTTTTTCCAGTGCCATCGCAAGTTTGAACGGTCACTAAATGTAAGCCAAGGACTATAGACAGGATCGGTGCTAGCACGACCTTCCTAGGACCGGCTTAACGTATTCCGACAAGTGCGTTGTCATTTAGCGTAAGCCGAAAGTGGCAACCAGGAGGTAGCCTTTGTGTGTCACCACAATCGTAAGTGCTGTCAATTATATCTTCTCTCTTTTTTTAATGTCTCTTGCCTATTATAAGCCTGGGAAATTATCCTCTTCCATTTCAGAGCATTTTATGTTTGAAAATGTAATAAAGATCATCGTGGAAAAACAATAATTCAGCAGAATTAAAGCAAGCCATCTTCGTGGCTGACAGCTGCCCGTCTGTCAAGCGAGAAGATAGTCAGGTATTGAATTCCGCTAGTAAAATGTCATCAAAATCCAGCTTGAGAGGATGCAAAGCAATTTGCCACTCCTTGCTTGGATGAAGCCATTTGCAGGGAGTGTTTGCTTATATGGAGTGGGGGTGGGGACAGGTGACTCCTGCTTTCTGTCTGAACACTGGGGCTCCCTGGGCCTGTGGAATGGATTGAGTGGTAGGAGAGACTGGGATGCAGAAGAAATATAATTTAATATTTTCTGTATTAGCCTCTTTGAAGATAGGATTCAAGACAGCTGGTATCAAGAGTGAAAATTTGGCAGCTAAGTGCCTTTCCATTTTCATCTTGCCATTAGAGTAAGAGAGGGGGAGACAGAGTAGAGTAGAGTAGAGTAGAGTAGAGTAGAGTAGAGTAGAGTAGAGTAGAGTAGAGTAGAGTAGAGTGGGATGGGATGGGATGGGATGGGATGGATTGGGATGGGATGGGATGGGATGCAGAATAGAATAGAATAGAATAGAATAGAATAGAATAGAATAGAATAGAATAGAATAGAATAGAATAGAATAGAATAGAACGGAGTAGAGTACAGTAGAACAGAACAGAACAGAATACAATAGAATAGAATAGACAGATTGTAGACTAGTCTAGACTAGACTAGACTAGACTAGACTAGACTAGACTAGACTAGAATAGAATAGAATAGAATAGAATAGAATAGAATAGAATAGAATAGAACAGTTTAGAATGGAATGGAGTAGAGCATAGAATAGAATAGAATAGAATAGAGTAGAGTAGAGTAGAGTAGAGTAGAGTAGAGTAGAGCAGAACAGAACAGAGTAGAATAGAATAGAATGGAATGGAATGGAATGGAGAATAGAATAGAATGGAGAATAGAATAGAATAGAATAGAATAGAATAGAATAGAATAGAATAGAATAGAACGGAGTAGAGTACAGTAGAACAGAACAGAACAGAACAGAATACAATAGAATAGAATAGACAGATTGTAGACTAGTCTAGACTAGACTAGACTAGACTAGAATGGAATGGAATGGAATGGAGAATAGAATAGAATAGAATAGAATAGAATAGAATAGAATAGAATAGAATAGAATAGAATAGAATAGAATAGCATATTGAATAGAATAGCATATTGAATAGCATAGGCAAATAAATCTATTTGCTTAACTACCTGGAAGCTTAGTTGGTAGTTAAAGTGATACACAAAATCAGCCTATAGCTGTCATTCATGACAGAGGGGTATATTAGAATAGCATAAGCAAATAAATCCATTTGCTGTCCACACATCTACGGTACATTTCAAATTACCGCGTTAGAGATTTCTACTAACTAACTAGTGACAGGGAAGGACGAAGCTCCATTCCAACATGTAAAATGCAGATAAAATGCTGCAAAGCTCTTGGCGGATGCAAAGAAAAGATGGCTGTTACCAGCCTGCAATCCCTTCTCCAAGGTCGAGAGAGAGAGAGAGAGAGAGAGAGAGAGAGAGAGAGAGAGAGAGAGAGAGAGAGAGAGAGAGAGAGAGAGAGAGAGAGAGAGAGAGAGAGCTGACAGAGATCTATAGTATACGGGTAAAAGAAAAGGAAATATCACACAATACAAATGAGAGGCGGAGACTCATGGGAGGAGTTGATAAATACCAGAAAGGTAAATGGCTTTATCAACCATGAATTCTTCTGAAAAACGGATGTGGCAAAAATTCTTCTTGCTTTTTCGGATGGCCGTGATGTCCCCGCACTGTTCGAAGACTTCCTGGATTATTTCCTCGCTCGCATTTTCGGGCAATCCTCCGACAAACACGGTTTTGCATCCCGGCGGTCTCTCCCTTGTCGAAGGGGGTGGAAGATCTAAGACAAAACGGAATATCGCACAGATTACCGGAGAGTCCAGATCTCCTTGCCGAAGCCTCCAGATCGATCCATGCTTCACTCAACACCAACATCCGGCACGGTGGGGAAGAATCTGTCCTGAAGCGATTCTTCCATCTCTTAGTTGACTTAAGGCTGTTTTTGCTGGAGTAATTTAGCTCCTTGCTAAAGGGCGACTCACACATCCCTACGGGTTATCACTGTCTCAGGCCTAAAGATGTAGTAGGGCTGTACGGCTATTATCCTTCTCATCTACCCCTTCTTCTCATTTCCCACCTTTTCCCATCTTCTCATCTTTCCGACTACCTTCTCCTATTGGCCTTATGATTTGTCGCTTGTTGCTTGTATTTTAGGATTAATGATTGTAACTATGATTTATGACCTATCACTCTGTGGTTTATATGTATACCGAGAGCTTATGCACCAGAGACAAATTCCTTGTGTGTCAAATCACACTTGGCCAATAAAAAATATTCTATTCTATTCTATTCTATTCTATTCTATTCTATTCTATTCTATTCTATTCTATTCTATTCTATTCTATTCTATTCCATTCCATTCCATCCCATCCCATCCCATCCCATCCCATCCCATCCTATTTTATTCTATTCTATTCTATTCTATTCTATTCTATTCTATTCTATTCTATTCTATTCTATTCTATTCTATTCTATTCTATATTCTCTTCTATTCTGCATTCTCTTCTCTTCTCTTCTCTTCCCTTCCCTTCCCTTCCCTTCCCTCCCATCCCATCCCATCCCATCCCATCCCATTCTATTCTGCATTCTATTCTATTCTGCATTCTATTCTGATCTATCCCATCCCATCCCATCCCATCCCATCCCTCCCATTCCAATCTATTCTTCATTCTTCTGTTCTGTTCTGTTCTGTTCTGCTCTGCTCTGTTCTGTTCTACTGTACTCTACTCCGTTCTGTTCTATTCTATTCTATTCTATTCTATATTCTCTTCTATTCTGCATTCTCTTCTCTTCCCTTCCCTTCCATCCCATCCCATCCCATCCCATCCCATTCCATTTATTCTGCATTCTATTCTGATCTATCCCATGCCATCCCATCCCATCCCTCCCATTCCATTCCATTCCATTCCATTCTATTCTTCATTCTTCTGCTCTGCTCTGCTCTGCTCTGCTCTGCTCTGCTCTGCTCTGCTCTGCTCTGCTCTATTCTATTCTATTCTATTCTATTCTATTCTATTCTATTCTATTCTATTCTATTCTATTCTATTCTGCATTCCCTTCCCTCCCATCCCATCCCATTATTCTATTCATTTTAGGACTTCCAAAGGTGATAAGGCAGCACTATTGATAATACGGTTTCAGTAAGTAATACTAAAGGAAGGAAGTGATACCAGAGTTGGTTGATTGGTTTATTCATGTCAGAAGCACCACAATTAAAATAAGGCATGCTACAGGACATAAATTTAAAAATAGAAACTACAAGATTAAATTAGGCACCACTTAAACAGATCTTTCCCAGAAACTAGCAACATTTATTGCATTCCATCCTTCTGCTGTGAGATCCTGAAGTTACCCCCAAAGTTGGCAACGTTGTGAGATTAACATTAGTGATTCTAAAAGCAGACCTGAGGAATGTTCTCCTGATTGGCCAGCCACCTACCATGAACATAGAACAATAGCGTTGGAAGGGACCTTGGAGGTCTTCTAGTCCAACCCCCTGCTCAGGCAGGAGACCCTATACATTATCTTGCTATGTTAAAATTGCAAGATCCTTTCCCCCTGTCGTTAGGTGGCTAGGCGATACGTCCATCAACTCTCAAAAAGCTTTGCGCCAGCCTAGTAGTTTCAACCCTCATTAAGCTAACTTGTTTAGCTAACCAGGTTTACTTACTTGGGTTTGGAGGGAAGAGAGTGCAGCTTTTACAGTGAATAATCTCTTTGATGACAGGGACTTCGGTGGCGGGAGGCTGAGGTACGAGGCCCATGCCTGACAGCATGGGGTTAATCGGAGTGATTCCCGTCATCATCCGGAGGCTTGGATCAAAGCCCCTCACGCAAATGGAATCTGCAAATACAGCACAGAAACTTTTTATGAACTTTAGGGCAAGTTTCACTTACTGTCCACTGTCACCTTGCTTTGTATAGTATCCCTGTCAGGCCCATCAGCCTTGTTCTAAAAACAAAATAACCATGCACGTAGAAGAAGCTGCTACCTAACATGAGCCAATCCATCAGAATAGAACTGGATGGGACCTTGGAGGTCTTCAAGTTCTGCTCAAGCAGGAGACCCTATACCATTTCGGACAAATGGCTGTCCAGTCTCTTCTTAAAAACTTCCAGTGTTGGAGCATTCACCGCTTCTGGAGGCAGGTTGTTCCACTGGTTAGTTGTTCCAACTGTCAGGAAGTTTCTCCTTAGTTCCAGGTTGCTTCTCTCCTTGATTAGTTTCCATCTGTTGCTTCTTGTCCTGCCTTCAGGGGCTTTGGAGAATAGCTTGACTCCCTCTTCTTTGGGGCAACCCCTGAGATATTGGAACGCTGCTATCATGTCACCTCTCGTCCTTCTCTTCATTAAACTAGACATACCTAATTCTATCAACCTTTCCTTATATGTTTTAGCCTCCAGTCCCCTGATCATCTTTGTTGCTCTTCTAGAGTCTCCGCATCTTTTTTACATCATTGGAACCAAAACTGGATGCCGTATTCCAAGTGTGGCCTTACCAAGGCATTGTAAAGTGGTATTAATACTGACAACAAGAAAAAAATTAACCAGGGAAATAGTTTGTCTCTTCTTTGGGACAGCCCCTCAAATATTGGAAGATTGCTATCATGTTACTCCTACTCCTTCTCTTCCTTAGACTAGCCAAACCAAAATCCTGCAACTGTTCTTCATATGTTTTAATCTCCAGGGTTTTGATCATCTTAGTTGCTCTTCTCTGCACTTTTCTTTCCCCCAAAGTCTCAACATCTTTTTTTTTTTTGAGACTTTGTTGAGACAGAATGTGAATCTGATAGGTCAGTGGTTCTCAACGTCAACATCCTGCTTGAGAATCCAAATAAAACTCCAGATTAATACCGTTTCCGAAAATTTTAAGATTTATCAAATACACTGCATAGCTATGTCGAAGCAAAGCTAACTTTGAGATTCCCACACCAATTCATTGACTTAAATAGTGGTTTTCCCAGCCAAACCCCCAACATCTTATGTAATCCATATCAACAAGTCCACTTTGTTATGGGAACCATCTGCTTCAAATCCACACCTGTTTTGGTGTCCTTGACAAGGCTTCAGGCTCCCACGGTCTGCAGCTGAATCGAAGAAGTTTTGTTTCTCCATCTGCCCACTTGTAAGGAACACCTCCCACCCCCTTTTTCTAAAGGCAATTTGAAACACAGAGGCATGTAGCTGTAAAAAGTTTCACACTTGACACTCAACCTGGGGTCGCTGGACCCCTGGGGGGCTGTGATGTCATCACGGGGAGTCCGTGATGACTTGAAGAAATGTTATGATTTAAATCTTGAGTTAAGTCTTGGGGATCCGTGGTCACAAAAGATATTTAAGGGGGGGCGTCCATGGTGAAGAAAAGGTTGAGAACCACTGTGATAGGTCATTAAAACATCATCATCGTTACCATCATGAAATTGGTTCTTTTCTGGAGCACAAGCTCCAGATTCCCCTTCCGTTCTTCAGATCTACTTGCTGATTCAACAATTTTGGTAAGAACAAAGCAGTGAAGGCCACGGGAGAGAAGACTCAACATGAAGGACTACTTCTATCACGTTTCATTTCGACGGCATCAAGTCTTCCATCACAGGCTGTAGGTAGTCCTTGACTTACGAACACAACTGAACCCAAAGTATCTGTTGCTAAGCAAGACACTGCAGTTGTTAAGTTAGTAACGCGATTGTTAAGTGAATCTAGCTCCCCCCCCGTTGACTTTGCTTGTCAGAAAGTCATTAAAGGCGATCACAGGGCAACTGTCACCAGTACATGCCAGTTGCCAAGCCTCCGAATTCAGATCACGTCACCACGAGGATCCTGCAGTGGTTGTCATGGTGAAAAATGGTCAAAGTCACTTTTGTCAATGCTGTTGTAACTTTGAACGGTCACTAAACAGGTGATTGTAAGTCAAGGACTACCCATACAACATTGTGACGCTTCCCAGATCTTTGCAGAGCTAAGATTTCCGCCACCTTCTTTGCTTCTGAGTCTCGTACCAGCCTTGATTCAAACAAGAAGAATCCGGCTGAGTCAAACCAACAATTCTTCCAGTAATCAACTCCGTGTCCACAGGAAGTTCAGAACGAAGGGCGGGGGGAGAGATCCTCCAAGAGGACTGCCCTTTGCACAGACGGTTACTTGAACGTGGAAGCCGGACGTAGCCAACAGGCCCCCTTTTCGTGAGTTTTTCTAATCCTCCTCACAAGTCAGCTAATTACTTGACCTTGTAAGCAGATTCCCTGGTGTTGGGCGCAAAAGCTGCCTCCGTATTGTATGAGCTTCTTCCACAGGATTCTCCTGCCAATCAGCTTCACTCTCTGACCGCAGAGATCTGGCATTAGAAACGCTGGCATGAAATAATCCTGCAGGATAAAATGCATTTGCAGGATAGAATGTAAATTTCGATACTAATCTGTACATCGGGAAATCTGCAGAAAGGGAGGGAGGGAGGAAGGAAGGAAGGAAGGAAGTTGATGGGAAAGGGAGGGAGAAAGGGAGGAAGGAAGCAAAATAGGGAGGAAGTGAAGGGAGGGAGAAAGGGAAGAAGGAATAAAGGAAAAGAGGGAGGAAGGAGAGGGAGGAGGGAGGAAGGAAGATAGGAAGATGGGAAAGGGAAGAAGAGAGGGAGGAAGGGAGGGAGGGAGGTAGAAAGGAAGGAAGAAAGAAAGGTAGGAAGTTAATGGGAAAGGGAGGGAGAGAGGGAAGAAGGAAGGAAGGAAAATAGGGAGGAAGGAGAGGGAGGAGGGAGGAAGGAAGATAGGAAGATGGGAAAGGGAAGAAGAAAGGGAGGGAGGAAGGAAGCAAAATAGGGAGGAAGTGAAGGGAGGGAGAAAGGGAAGAAGGAAGAAAGGAAAAGAGGGAGGAGGGAGAGGGAGGAGGGAGGAAGGAAGATAGGAAGATGGGAAAGGGAAGAAGAGAGGAGGGAGGAAGGAAGGGGAGGGAGGGAGGTAGAAAGGAAGGAAGGGAAGGGAGGAAGTTAATGGGAAAGGGAGGGAGAGAGGAAAGAAGGAAGGAAGGAAAATAGGAAGGAAGGGAAGGGAGGGAGAAAGGGAAGAAGGAAGAAAGGAAAAGAGGGAGGAAGGAGAGGGAGGAGGAAGGAAGGAAGATAGGAAGATGGGAAAGGGAAGAAGAGAGGGAGGAAGGAAGTTAATGGGAAAGGGATGGAGGGAGGGAGAGAGGAAGGAAGGAAAATAGGAAGGGAAGGGAGGGAGAAAGAAAAAGAGGGAGGAAGGAGAGGGAGGAGGGAGGAAGGAAGATAGGAAGATGGGAAAGGGAAGAAGAGAGGGAGGGAGGAAGGAAGGGGAGGAGGGAGGTAGAAAGGAAGGAAGGAAGAAAGGTAGGAAGTTAATGGGAAAGGGAGGGAGAGAGGGAAGAAGGAAGGAAGGAAAATAGGAAGGAAGGGAAGGGAGGGAGAAAGGGAAGAAGGAAGAAAGGAAAAGAGGGAGGAAGGAAAGGGAGGAGGGAGGGAGGGAGGAAGGAAGGAAGTTGATGGGAAAGGGAGGGAGGGAGGAAGGAAAAGAGAGAGGGAGGGAGGGAGTTGATAGGAAAGGGAGGAAGGGAGGGAGGGAGGAGGAAGGAAGGAAGGAAGGAAGGAAGGAAGGAAGGAAGGAAGGAAGGAAGGAAGGAAGGAAGGTCTAGCTAGTATCTTTTCTCTGATACAGGCCAATTGCACAGAAGATTTTAAAAACGGTCACTGTCCTTCTGTGGATATTTGCAGGCAGAATAAAGAGCGGTGTCTGCGTTTGGGCATGTTGCAATACCTTCAATTATTGCACCGAAAATGAGACTTTGATCAAAGGACTTTTTCCTCCCCCTCTCATGTTTATCGCACGGTGACACGAAAAGCTTAACTTCTCAAAAGCGCCTCATTGGCCCGAGGTTGGAAAGACTTTGAATGTTCTCTTGTATATAAGCTTTGTGTGAGCTAATTGGGTGGGATGGCTGGGAAGAACACACACGGATGAAGTTTCAAATTTCCTCTACGGAGACCCTCTCCTGCTTGGTCTAGCTTGGCTCCAGACTTCCTCTCCCGGGTTTGGGTGGATAACTTTTACTACACGTCTACAAATCCTTCACGTGGTCTCAAAGCAGCTTCCGTGGCTTAAAGGCGGGTTCACGGTTGTTACTGATGTGTCCCATTCCATTCTGCCGAGGAGCTGAGGGTGGGACACGGGGAGATAATCTTACTCCACCCCCGTTGTCCGCGATCTCATCAGGATTTGTGTACAAAGCGTAAGTTCTTGGCACTGGCCCTCAGCTGCCAGATGGTGAGACATAATATTGCTTCATTACTCCCCTCATCTGGAAGCATCTGCTCTGCATGTTTGTCAAGTTCCCACTTTCTACTTCTGGCAGGTTTCACTCTGATTTTTATTTTTCATTTTTTTATTTCTGGCCTCCACGTTATCCATAAGGCGTCCTGTTGGACTGCCAGATTCCAACACATGGATAGGGGCTGTTCTTATTTTATGTAAAATGCGCGGAGTTGTAATCCACCAGGTTTGAGACAGACGCAAAGGGGGCAACTGCTCATAATCTGTAGGGGAAGAGCAGGCAGAGTCTGCAGGCGGAGTCAAGAGAGGACTTAGCCTAGAATCGTGATGTCTCCACAAACGCTCCCGGTCCAATCCCTCTGGACTCCCGCGAACCCTTATCTAGCACCAATTTAGTGCTGACCGTTAATTGACCAAGATTCTTGTATGCAGGTTAGTCCTCCAATGCATTTAGTCACCTTTCAAAGTTACAACAGCACTGAAAAATGTGACTTATGAAGGTTTTTCACACTTACGACCATTGCAGCAGTGGTGACGTAATCAAAATTCAGGTGCTTGGCAATTGGTTCAT